GAAGCGCGGCTCACAAGATAGTTCCAAGAGAGGGAGGGATGCGCCTCTTCCAGAAGCGTCTGGCCTCCGGCACATAGAGACGCCGAATCTCCTCAGGGCAGCAGACGAGAAAGTCCCAGAGCTGGAAGGCTGCGAACCAAGTGTTGATGACGGATAAGATGAGCAGCTCGTCGTGCTGGTCATTCTGAATGCTGAGTCTATCCATGACTGCCATTCGTGATTGGGATGATGAGATGGTGGTGAGCAAAGTATGGAAGCAAGGATGTTCAAAGGTTGTAGAAGAGTGTTGCAGCGCGAAGGCGTGGGGTGGGGCCGGTGGCTGTATAGTGATTCGCCTAGTTACGAAAATTGTCAGCCTTGACGGGGGAGATTGCGCGTCGCACAGTTGCACCCTGTCGGGTGGCTGATACTCGAGATTGGCAATGACGAATGGAAATGCAGAGAGAGTGTGTCTGGCAAGCAGCATTTGGCGGCAGCCATCGATCTACGCTGCATTCGTGATTTGCTAAGCCATCATCATGACGCTTGCCACTCGGTCCACATACCGTACACATCGCTGGCTGGCTCGGATCCGGACTGCCGGTGCATGCCTGCCTGCCCGCGATGAGCAAGAAGCAAGCATCAATATCCCAGAATGATTGTCTGCAAGATGCATGACAGCCCGATTAGCCAAGTGAACAGCGCACGCGGTGAAGACGAGCAACACTTAAGCGCCCATATCTATCGCTTGCTCATGGCCCATCCTATCGTACACCTCATCCATCTCATGCACATGCGCTGGACAAACACCGCATCACTCATGGCAGAAGCGATACAGCGCGGCTTGTTCAAGCTTGCAATTGCCAATGGCCGATGCGGCATCGGACTTGCGGGGAGGTTGTAACTTGCTTTGCGACCTCAATGTGACTCGATCTCGCTTGCAAAAAGGCACTCATACCGTTTTGCTCCACTCGATTGAGCGCTCCAAAGCTACGTTGCTCGCACAACCTTGTCCTCGTTGATATGCCTCAGCTCTGTAGATGTGTGAGCTGTGCATCGTGGACGCT